AAAATTGATTATTTAAAAAAAGCTTGATTTAAATAATTAACTTATTGTCATTGTTTTTAAAACCCCCTCATTTTCTAAACGTAAAATAAACAAGTGCAATCGTAAATTGTATATGTTTAATGATGATTTAGGCTAGCCATTTAGCATAAACATTTATCAACAGCGACGTTTTGTTTCATAATAAAATGTACCTCGACCTTTGGATTCCCTTGTTTAACAGTTTGTGGCTGTTAAACAAGCAACAGATGAATCGACGATGCTCTGATGGTGACGCGCTTATCAATTTATGCAAATTCGCTTTATGACGCATGACGCTCGATGGGCAGCGCGCGCCTTGCGTGTTCAAGCCATCTGAACTATGTTTAGTGGTAAGTGTTTATGAGAAGCGAAGCAAACCAAGAAAAGCTTTACTCTAGTCTATCATCTTTAGTAGTTGTGGCTTGAGCTTTGAGGTTAATGATTCAGTGTTAATATCTCTATGTTTGTGGGGATTTTTGTTTTTGTTTTGACATTAGGGAAGTTTTGAGAGTCATATACTAACATAACAACACAGGTATCTGATATGAGCCACATTTATTTTACGTTCAGGCTGATGCACTGATATAATTACCTTAAATCCTGAATTGTTTTCATCCCAATACTTTGTGTCCAATGTGAGTAATTGTAATCATAGATGTGTATAGGTAATGTGCATAGATACCTCTTCTGTGTTTTTTTTTTACCCCAATAAATTATTAAATTAATGTCTTGTTATTAAATAAAGACGTGTTATATTGGAAGAGTCAGAGCTGAATATGGGAAGAGATTTATGGATATTTTATGTGCCTTTAGCACATTATTTGCCATACTAACACAATACAATACAAAATCGTTAGGTAAAGCAACATCTAAGTCATCACAACTTGAAATACTGAGTAAATGCATAGAAAAAACAAACCAATGCATTCGTAGGTTATCCAATTTCTGTTAGAATTTAAGTCTCTGGAGGTTTTACCGAATCTTAGAACTCATTAATTTTGTATTTAGATCACAAATTATAATAGTTTTTTTGAATTGTTGCCTTGTTTGCACTAACTTACCCTTTACATTACAAAATGCACAAACATTTGTAAAAGATTTTGGTCACAAAACTTACTTTACATTAAACTGACTGATTCAAGTTAAATCTTGTGTAATAAAAAGAAATAAAATTTAGCTTAAAGGGATAGTTCAGTTTTTTTTTAATCTAGAGGTTTACTCACCCCTTACATGTTCCAAAACTTTTTGACTTTCTTTTGTTGAACACAAAGGGAGATATTTTGAAGAAAACTGAAAACCTATTGACTTTCTATAATATTTGTTTGTTGTTCTGTGGAGAAGTCGATGTTTACAAGTTTTCAGCTTACTACAAATGATCATTTCTAGTGTTCAACAGTAGAAAGGTACTCACTGGAACCACTTGAGGTAGAGTAAATCTTGAGTAAAGTTTATTTTTTGGGTAAATTATCACCTGAAATATGGGTAACTTATAAAGATAAGTTAAATTATTATTAAAACTTGCAGTTGTCAAGGAAATTCAGCAGTGGAACAACCTTTAAAAGCTGTATAGTCGTAATGATTTTATCAATATCTCTGTCACTTCTGCACTTTAAAAAACATACATGTCAGCCAACCTTCAAACATTTTTCTGAACTTGTAAAGTTATAGCACATTCGAAACTTTCATTGACCAGTGACTCACTTGGAGATAAAATGAAATTTAAAAGTCCCCCGTATTTTGATCTTTGCATTTAGGGAAATTAGTCTGTTGAAAAGGGAGTTATCTGTTTGTGCCTTGTTTATATATAATAAGTTTACTCTCCTAATATAGTTCCCCCGATCATTTGGATATTGCAGCTTGCATCATGTGTAAACCATCTGCATCAGGTTGAGGTTTTATTTGTTTTCTTTTATCAACATGTCTTTCTGGGCTCTCTGTTCCCAGACTATATACAGTATAGTATATGTGGCGGTGTTTATTTCTAGATGGCAGGTGCACAGCAGTAAATGGCAGGAACTTTATATGTTACCAGGAAGGAAAACAACAGTAGTACAATCCCCTTAATTATCCCTAAACATGATATTCCCTAGAAATTCTCCGACACCGGGTAGAACATTTTCCTAAATCCCTTTATCATTTACAGATATGCAAAGGATGCTGCATGTTTACTTCCCTGGTAGGAGACAGGCAGATGTGCGTGCGTTTGTTTATGTAGATGCCATTCCCTGGAATGATAGACATTTTATTGACGCTCGTCACTACTTCATTCTGGTTACACAAACGGAATGTAGAGGCTGAAACTGCATTAGAAAGCATTTTTCTTTGACTTATTTGATTTTCCATTTAAATTTAAGCAAGTAGTTCCCATGCCGTACATAATACTTTTTTGGTAACAAATTTATCAAGAATTAAGATCAGATGGGAGCCAGTGTGTTCGGTCATTTCTTTTTCTTTAGATAACCTCAAATGTTTTTTTTTAAAGTTCCAGTGAAGATGCAGCACACATCGTGCACAGAGGACCGGATCCAGCATGCTCTGGACAGATGCCTCGATGGACTCCGGCCATCGGAAAACCTGTCACAGTCTTGGAGCGGTAAGCTGATGATGGGCCACTGCTGCTCATGGCTCACTTTTGCTTAACGTCATTGTTTTTCATTTCAATGTTTAACTTCTGTTTTGTAGAATTTCTTTATGTGTTCTCCTTTTGTCATTTTCCGCTTTGGTTTTAGATGAGCATGTTTTGCAGATGTAAATAAAGGGCATATTTGGTCTGCTAGCAAATGTATTATCTGCGCTGTAAAACCCGACAGTCAGCTTTATCTAGTGAAATGAGTGTAGTTAGCTCAAAATTTACTGAAAGTTAATTCTACTCATTTTAGAAGAGTTTTGAACTCAGGGTTGAAGGTAATTAGTTAATTAAATACCTCATTACTTCAACTTAAATTGAGTAAGTTCACAGTAGCTTTTTAACTCAAATGGTTTGTAGCAATCGGTTTCCTTACACTTTGAGTTGCCTTAACCTATTGGGTTTTACCCTACTCAGATGGTTTGAGTTCTCTTCATTTATTTGGTTTTACTGTGCTTAAATTGTATTGTTTACTCAAATGGATGAAGTTCACAGTACTCATTAGGGTTAGTTTTTGTACGTAAATGGCTTGCTGCAATCAGAATCCTCAATAGTTTGTTACCTTAACTTATTGGGATTTACAGTGTGTAATATATGTAAAACGTAATATCTCAAAAATCAAAATATTATTTTGTCTGAATCCAAGAACTAATTTCACAATATACAGTATTTATATATGTTTAGACATCTCTTTTAAGGAGAGTAAAACACACACCCACACAGAGATATACCATCAGAAATAAAAGAAAATATTATTAATAGGAAAACCCCCCCGCGCAGAAAGTAATGTCTGTCTGTCAGGTCTATAAATTTTTAATAAATTGACTTGATGAAAATGTTACTTTTAGTTTTGTTATAAAGCATTTAAAATTTGTTAAATAATTTTTAAATAGGACTGGGCAATTAATCAAAAAGTAATGTCCAGGTCCATTTTTTCAATTACTTGCCATGCTGTGCGTGGAGTCATGGGACCCCGCTCTGTCAGTTATACTTACTATATTATGATTTATGCTTATTTTATTATTCTGATGTTATACTTCTGCCTTGCACATATGTGCAGTCCAGCGCAGCCTTCGCATACATGTGCACCTCCTAAGAAATGTACTTACACTTCACGACAACATGTATCACAAGTTTTGTGATGTTGGTTTGGTAGTGGCGATGACATAGAGTGGGTGGCATAGAGAGATGCGTTTCAGGCAGTGTGTGTTTTAGTTTCAGTTGTTCAACATTTATGTTCAAAAAAAATAAAAAAAACATAGATAGTAGAGAGTGTGTTTCCTTGAATTTTTCTAAAATAGATAAATAAAATATTCATTCATTAATCGTAATCGAGTTAAAATGTTCAATTTATCGAGATTCTGATTTAATCCAATTCCCCCAGCCCTATTTAAAACATTTTCCTTTATTTTTCTTTATTATTCCCGTGTATTATCCTACCCATGTCTTTGCTTGATTTCACCAAGGGTATAAATACTCTGTATTAATTGTGTGTTTCCTCTGGTTGGTGTTTTACAAATGCGGAAACAGTTTTTATTTTTTTTTTTTAATCCTGTAATTTTGTATTTTTACTCATAAATTCTAATGATGCTGTTAAAAGTCTGAGCTCTGCAGAATGTGACAAAGTTGATATACTTAGAGAGATGTTATTATGAAAAAGCCTTCTAAAGGAAATGCATTATTTGACACCTTTACTAGAGCAGGAAGCTGCAAAGTCCTTCTAGTAAAACAAAATTGTTGACATCAGCCAATGCAGCTCTTTAAGAAGACAGCAGGAGTTGCCATATATACATCAGTTCACCACAGTTCATGTTGCAAATTGTAGATTTGAGGTTACGCGTAGTCACGAAAACCAATATGATCTGTTGCTCTCGAATTGTGCACCGCAATATGTTCTTTCTCAGAACTCAGACCAAAACTGCGCATCACCATTTAGAGCAGGGAACCCCTTGACCTGACATGAGCAGTGCAGATTTTAGGATAATGGGCTTGTTAACGTGTCCGATAATTAAACAGTCCTTTCCTGTCAGGTGTGTATTTTCAGATCGATTCTTGCCCTTTATTTGTGACTCATTAAGTGTTTTTTGAGGTCATGCATACTAGCAGGAGACTTGTTTACTAGATTTCAATTTGAGGTGTAAGTAACACTTTCACTATGAAGGTTCTCATGTGTTTTTCTCTATGCATGTTTTTGTGTGTGTACAGCGGGCTGGTGTATGAACCGCTGGAGTCTAGAAGAGCTGATTAAAAGAGACCCCGATAATTTTCTCATTCTGCTGCAGCAAATTCTCAGAAAAGCCAGAGAGGTGAGAATGTTTGTATGAATGCGCACCATAGCTGAATACTGCACCCGCAGTGTTACTTTCAGTCACGTTTCTCTAGTGTATGCCCCCTTGTGGGCTCTGCAGTCTTTGACAGTTTAACTTTTAGTCTAAGATTTTAGTGTTAATTAAGCAAAATTATAAAATTTTAAATTAGGATGTTATTGAGGACTTTTTTAAAAGTTTGTTTGCAAATTGTTGATGGTGTGTATGTTTTCACTGCTGTTTTAGGTTCAGCAGGAGTGTCATTATGAGCTTGTGGCCCCTTTGGCTCTCATGTTTGAGTCCACACTACTGCAGGTAAACATCATGGATACTGGAGTTGATTGTTTTGGAATTCATTTAAAAAGATAATCAGAAAATATCCATATATCTCCATTCACCTTTGTAGGTTTTGGGTGTTTAGTGTGATTTTAATTTTTTTTACTTTTAATTAGGTTCAGTTATACATTTTCAGGAAAACATTATTAAAGCGATTATGAAAATTGTCAATAAAAAGTAAAAGAACATTTTTTTTATATTATCACATTTTTTATTAATTTGATATAATGTTTTAGTTTAGTCATTTACTTAGTTATGGGCATTTAATTATGCCTTCTCCACTGCATAAAACTGGATTTCTTTGTTACTTCATTAAAACCTTAAAATTTACCATGACTTTTCACTGCTTCACTGCTTTATTTGTTCATTTATTAATTAAGTTATTTATTTATTTATTTATTCGTTCAGTCATTCATTTTACTCAGTTTCATTTAGTTTCTTTCTTTCAGATTTACAATTTGGAAAGAATAATTTTTTTACTTTTTTTAAATATAAAACAATTTACTTTTTAAATTCACTGTTTTTTGCCTCACTAAATTAAGTTCAGAAACCCATGTACATTTTCCCTATTTATTTCAACTGTTTTGCTGCTATTTATCTTGCAGCGTATAATTAAATAGTTAAAAGGAGCTCATTTTCTTTGGTTTCAGGCTTTGTTATAAAAATTGCTTTAACCCTTTAACTATCCCACCAAAAAAAAAAAAAATTTGGATTCCGTTTCTTTACTCCTAATGTTGCTAGTTAACATACTTAATGCTTTTTTTTGTTTTATTTTGTTTTGCTTTGTTTTTTTTTTGTTTGTTTGTTTGTTTGTTTGTTTGTTTGCTTTGTTTTTTACAATAAAGTCAAAATGGAGTGTAGTAGTGCAACAGGATGTTTTAGTTTTTTTTTTTTTTTTGTAAACAAACAATGCTGCGTGTGTAATTCTTTAAATGACTTTAACAGTCATTATTTACAACAATAAAAGCATGTTCAATCTTTTGGTAGAGGGGCAGTCAAAGGGTTAAGACTGAAATTTTGGGACTTCTTTCATTCATTCATTCTCCAAGGAGCTAATTCAAAAAGCTAAATCACATCTGTCTCTCTTCCTCTTTGCAGATGCCTCTTTGTCCATCCAGTGAAAAGGTTCTGACAGAGGCATGTGAAGTGTTTCATGGCTTTCTAGCATGGCCTGAGCCCTACTGTAGTGTGTGTCGTAACCTGCTCTCCACACTGCATCAAGAGCTTCGAGCTCCAGGTACCACATTCACATCAGTAATCACAATAAAGACTTAGTTTAATCACCAGCACACACAGCTGAGCACATTAATAAAATAACAGCCCATTAAAATTGTCTTAATTCACTAAATAATTACAATAACCGCTCAACTGCAGTGAAATGCTGCCTCTCTGTGGTTTGGAAAAGCGCTGCAGCTGTTGTCAAAAGCGAGCTTTTCACTTTTTGATCAGTTTTGTGAGCACAAGCAGTTCCTTAGGAATTACTTAACATACTTAAACGTCAGTACATTCAAGATTTTGATGTTACATAATGTTGTAACTTGATGAAATTATGTGTTCTTGTGTGTGTTTGCCTGTATCAGGGATTTCGTACCACAGACTGGTAAGAGAGGAACAAGGCCTTGCCACCTCCAGTCAGCGTTCTAAGATCATGTGAGTGTGTTTCCACAGAAGTAGGAGGAAATCCTGTTGTGTCAGTTATTGCTCACCCCTTTGTGGTTGCAAACTTTACCCCTCATTTCCTGTGTCAGTTCTTGGATATTCTGAACTTAGTTTTTTTATTATTATCAGTTTGTTTTAGCATTTCTCTGAGAAACCAGACACAATAGCAGAAAATATCTCCCAAAATAGAGTAGAAAAATGCTTTTCCTACTTAGTTTTTCTCTTGTTTGTAGTCCAAATATCTAAAAATCTGTAAATCAAGAAGCGTTTCCTAGACAAGAGAAACATCTAGGGACCTATCGTACACCCGGCGCAATATAGTGCAAGGCATGACGCAATTGTTATTTGCTAGTTTCAGCTTGGCGCAAGAGTCATTTTGACATTTTGCGCCAAGCTGTTTAAATAGCAATAGCATTTGCGCTCATATGTGCGCCCATAGGCATTCTCTAAAAAAGCAGGCGTGTTTTGGTGCGTTGCTATTTTGAGAAACTGTAATAGCCTTTTTTTTAGACCAGAACAAACCCGGTCAAACTCCGGCACAGAGTGCGCCTCGCTTACACACTGCTTAATACACAAGATGTGGAATACGCAAATTTCTTTACATATATATATATATATATATATATATATATATATATAAATGAAATATTAAGGATATATAAAGGCTATAATAAGGATATGTATAGGATATAAATATAAAGAATTAAAATATTACAAAACATATTATTTTCTAGGCAATATGAATTTTAAAAACCACTGCCTTGAATCCTTCATCTCAGGAGGCTTTTTCAGTTCATTCAATTTGCTTTTGTATAATGTTATTATTATTAGCTGTATTATTTATTATATCCATATTTATATTTGTTTTATTAAAAACAAGCTTAGATTTGTCCACCTGTCAGGTTTTAGACCATATGGGGGATAGCAGGTATATTTGGAAATAACTCAGTATTTTGAGCACACTTCGTTATTACTGTTCATTAATTCGTTAGCTGGAAATTAGAACTGAACTTTTAACAACTGGCTTTTAAAGGGAATGGGAGATGAGACTCTGATTGGTTTATTCTCAAAACACACCTATAACTCATTAAGAAAATAAACTCAACCCTTTTAGACCATGTGCCACGGCGCAAAGCAGATTTTCCTGTCCTTAAAATAGCAAAAATGCATTCTGACATGCCCTGAAAGTGTTTGCGCCCTGCGTTTTGCGCTCTGCGCATGGACCGTCAAAATAGAGCCCATTGTCTTCTTTTCAGAAGTTTTTTAAAAGCAAAATATAAAATAAATTATTTTTATTAAATAATGTAATAAAAAGGTATATTCAAGTTTTTATAACATATTGACAGTAACAAGTCCTACACAGTGGCCAGAGGGCCAGAGAGTCATTCTTCTTGCAGAATAGTGGCCAGGTCACTACATGATGGTAGTGGAAGAAAATGTTTCCTGACTCTCTTCTTCAAAACACCCCAAAGTGGCTCAATAATGTTTAGATCTGGTCACTGTGCAGGCAATGAGATATGTTCACACTAAACTATTACAATCTTTAAACCACTCTGTCACTAATCTTGTTCTGTTTATTGGTGTATTATTATCAGGTCTTTTACAATGGTTCGGTAGTCCTTGGCAGTGATGTGCCCATTTAGCACAAGTATAGGGTCCAGGCAATGCCATGATATTGCAGCCCAAACCATAACTGGTCCAGCCCCTTGCTTCACTTGGCATGCAACAGTCTGGGTGATGCGTTTCCTTGGGGGTTCTCTACACTGTAACTCTCGCGGATGTGGCAGTGACAGTGAAGGTGGACTCAAAAACATTACATGTTTCACATTATCCATAGCCCAAGATTTTCACTGCTGGCACCATTGAAACTGACGTTTGGCATTGGCACGATTGACCAAGGGTTTGATTATAGCAGCCCGGCCATATATACTGACCATGTGGAGCTCGCGACAAACAGTTTTGGTAGAAACAGGAGATTTGAGGTGCACATTTAATTCTGCAGTGAGTGGGCAACTTTGGTTTTATATTTATTGGATACAATCCGGGTTAGCGCTCGTACTTGCATTTCAGACATCTTCCTCTTGCGTCCGCAGTTACTTCTGTTGGATGTGATTCATCCTTTTTGGTGGTATGCTGGCATAACCATGGATATTGTGGCTTGGTCTTGGTCACAGACACCAACAATTTGTTCTCTTTTGAACTCTGATTTGTCCCCCATAATGTTGTGTAAATTACAATATATTGAGCAAAACTGTACTATTAGTCTGCTAATTAAACCTTCCCACTCTGCTCTTGCTGGTGGATTGTGCAATCAATGAAGATTGGCCACCAAGCTGAACAAATTTAACCATGAAAGCTCCACCACTAAATTTTCCAGAGTTACAGTTTTGTTGTCCAACAAGTATAGAAAAAAATACTTTTTATTAAAATTATATTTCTATTTTCTAAAAAAATCTATTTTAAAGATTACTATAGTTGTATTGAAATCAATCAACCAGAAAATAAAGAATGCAAAATCGTTTTGTTCACATTACTGATATGATCAGTCTTTATTTATGTTTGCGCATTTGTGCTTAACTGAAGTGCTGTGTTCTGATGTTTTCTCTGCTGCAGTACGGTGTTCTTGATGAACCCCACCGAGGTGCCCCCTGAGTTCCTGTCTGTGGCGGAGCAGCTCAGTTCCATAGAGGTTTCACAGAGAGAGAGCTGTGTTACGCTCATTAAACACAGCTATCAGTCAGTGCTCGGTACAAAATACCCACTACACACCATCAACAGTGCTCTACAGGTACATCACACTGCATTAACACAGCACAAGATTTTCCTCTATTAAAAGAAAAATGTGCTCTAAAGCTAAAGTTAATAAAAAGTGTGTGCAAGTTAACACGCATTATGTGTGTGTATGTGGGCATGAGCGTATCACTATGTGGGTGTCAGGAAGTGATCTGATTTGGGGGAGGGGGTTAATTACTGGATGTGTTAACAAATTACTCATATGTGGGCCGGTGGCTAACGGAGAAGAAATAGACTGATTGAGTGGGAGTGACTAAGGGCTAAAGTTTGGTATTAAGCTTTGCTTGGAAAAAAAAAATGCACTGTGAATACGTGTGATTACTCAGAGGTTAAAGTCAGTTTACTTTTGTTTGAACTAGAGCTAAATGTTCGATTTGTAACTCTGTATGAATTGCAGTTACACAAAAGTATAAATGACTATATTTGTTTCTTTTCAGTGCCTTAGCGATGATGAGTTGGCACAGATCATGTCCTCAGTGAGTGACCTATTAGAGTCTGCAGCAGCCATGGTGGATATCGCTAAAGCTCGAAAGCATGTTGAGGGTGGCCTGGAGGTATTGCGAGAAAAACTTGGCATACCATCCTCCAATGGGAAAATGTCAGATGGTACAGTTTCACTTTCTACTGTCAGCCCACCTCACAAATGCTAGCAACCAAAAGAAAGTTGGTTACCAGACTTGTGCCCTACGTATAGTAAATAAGCGATTTTTAAGAATGTGGATGAGGCCCACTAGGGTGCCCTACCAAACTTCTGTAAATAAATTGTGATTTTTGGCATACGTGGTGACCCATACTTGAAATTTGTGCACACACACACACAAGGCTGCAGTGTCCAGGGAGCAGTTAGGGAATTAGTGCCATGCTCAAGAGACGAGACTCACCTCAGCCGTAATATTAAAGGTATAATATAATATAATAAAAAATGTGTATATATATATATATATATATATATATATACATACACCCACCAACCCGCCAAATGCGGGTAGATTTCAGCTTTGGCGATTAGACAGCCACTCCCACTAGCCACTTTGGCAGGTTGGAAATTATTTTTACATTGTCGTTTTCTTAAAGCAGGGTTCGACAATAAGGATGGCCCAGTATGCATGCAAATGTGATCTTAGAATCGAGAAGCAGCACGACTGACAAAAATAACTGTGTTCGCGCGAGCAAAAGCAGGTGAATACCTTATGAGAGAATGATTACTCGCGTGCACGCGCTCCTGTTTATTTGCGCGAAACAACCGTGTAGCGCAACTGTTGCGATCGGTTCTCTTTGAAATAGACTAGACAAAAAGCCATGCTCATGTAAGCAACAAACCTTTTGTAAGCAGCAGCAGCAGTCACTGCTTTTGTTTTAATTATTCACAGGCACGTGATCATCCTTTCATTGTCACTAGTGGTATGTTTTTACCTGCTTTCTTTTGCTTACAGTTTTTTTTGTTAATATAGTTTAATTATCATCCTTTACAATAACATTGCTTTAATGGGAGATTAACTCCCCATTTATGTGTAGTAACCACTGATCTGGGACTTTTAGCCAGGACAGATTACTGTGCATATTTTAGATACATGACAATAGATCTTTTTAAATGTCAATTTAAAAAAAAAAGAAAAGTTTTGTCGAATAAAAGTGCATTTATACATACATTTGCTTGTTTTGACACATTTAAAATGTGTGGCTAAGAAATAATTATTTCTTTTTGGTGTGGTCAGAGATAAATTTGGTAAATCCTTAACTTTGGGCCTTAAAAAAGTCATGTGCAATAAAAACCAGTTGCAATGCGACAATTTGCTCATGCACAGTAAGCAAGTTTACACACAACACACACAAACAGTAATAAATTAAATAAATGAGGAGGCTTGTGGACAACACAACATCTAAATCAAGTCATTTTAGCATGTCAAAGTCACATTTATTAATACAAAATATATTTTCCAGGCAACAAAATGCGGTATACAGGTGAATTTGGTAGGCTAAATTGTCCGTAGTGTATGAGTGTGTGTGTGAATGTGTGTGTGGATGTTTCCCAGAGGTGGGTTGTGGCTGGAAGGGCATCTGCTGTGTAAAAAACTTGCTGGATAAGTTTGCGGTTCGTTCCGCTGTGGCGACTCCGGATTAATAAAGGGACTAAGCCGACAAGAAAATGAATATATATATATATATATATATATATCTCCGTCTGATGCAAATCAGAGCTCTGCTGGTCTTTATTCTGTTAAAAAAATGACTGGATGTTGTTTGTCCTGCCTATTACACCCAACTATTTGCCACAAAATATAAAAAATGACATAAACCATTGATTCTGAGTTGTAATCGCTTATTAATTATTTCAGTTTAGGCAAAGCTGACAGAAATTAAAATGGCTGAATAGAACATACATTAACCTGCATAGTAATCAAAAGATGGCACTAAAAAGTCAAAAACAGCCAGCAGCAAGGTAACAGACAAGCATATACTGTAAATATGGATGTGAGTGTATTCTGTGTATTCATTTATTCGTTTTTTATTTTTTAAATAGCCCACCTTGGAATGTGTGCTTTAAAAAGCATAAAAAGTCTTACATTTTTACTTGAAAACAGTGGTTTGTAAACAGTGTAAATCCTAAATAATTTTGTACAGTTTTATATTTTTGGATTATACAATTTCATAAATATTTTGATTGAACTGAATAAACCCCCTATATTAATATTTCCCAGAAGTATGAAAGCTGTTACAGCAACAATCTCCCTATTAAACACCTTTGAAATATTTGGATATCCACACTCTTTGAATCATGTAAACCTATGGTCTGTGTCTTATAGAGTTTGATGGTTGTTGCTTGGTAACGTACTACCTTTTTTGTTTGTCTGGGCATCAGTAGTCCATATTACCTGGCGCCAACTCTTAGAAACCAAAACAAGATGAATGACCAACATAAAGCAATACAACTGATGGCCTGTTTTTTTTCCATTTGTGAAACAGTGGTGTGTTTGCTTTGGACGGGTTTAGTGATTAATGGGAGAGATTTTGTTGTGTTTGTGTCACTAGGGGTTCTTCAGACGCTCGGCCTTCCAGCAGCAAAATGCTACACCTTCCATTGGGACAAGGATAATTTTGGTAGGACATAAAAAGCCAGTTCTTTTTTTTATGCCCTGACCTCATTCAAACATTTGTTTGCCTATTTCAGAAGTATAAACAATTGAAGATTGATTTCCAGTCAGTTTGATTTAGTTTAATTTGTCATGACTTGGAAGTTAGTCCTTCAGCCAATAGTGGCCCGCTGAGTCATGATTTTCCATCTTTTTTTTCTTCTAGATGTTCTAAATGACATTCTAGACATTGAGTCTGAATTGACATTATCTCAAACGTCTGAGAGCATGGAGGAAGATGATGTGGACAATGTTGATGTGGAAGATGATGAATATGATGACTTGGAAGATGTTTGCACTGACTATCGGGCCTCTACGTTCTCCACTGTCTCCTCTCTCTCCACGGCCTCTAAAGACTCCATGTTCTCCACACTGTCAGTTGCTTCTTCAGAATGTTCTCCCCTGTCAACGCTCTCATCTTCATCTCAAGCTTCGGGGACAGACAGTGACTTCTGTGAGGATTTAGAGGATGACAGTTCAAGCACAGTATCCCCGTCTAAGACCAAAAACAGTGGCCGACTTTCAAAGCGCATCTCACGATTCTTTAAACCTCGCAGCAGCAACTCTCTCTGTCGAGCCAAGAGCCTTGGCAGCCCGGAGGCTAAAGAATTAGTGGTGGCAGTCCGCTCTAAGAGATCCAATTCTCTACCCCAGCAGGTTCATCTACGTAGCTCTGACTTCGGGTTCCCAGTAATACCCCTATCTCAGCTCCAATATGTTTGCTACAGAAGGAGACCTATTCTGAGTACAGATGACGAAGAAGGGCCAACAGGGGCCACTTTGCTTAGAGTGGTGGTGTTTGGGGCAGATCATGTGGCAGGGAGGCTCGCCCGAGCCTATAGTAGTCTGAGGAAAAGAGAAAGAGACTGTCCACACCTGACCAAAGCTTTCAGGATGAAGTTTTTCTTTGTACCTGTGAGGAGGGATACAGCCCCAGTCAACTCGAGGAGGTCCTCTCTGCAGCTCTCAGCAAGTCCACTGAAAACAGCCATCTCAACCACAGTAAGTGAAAGTATGACATTTAAAGGTGCAATAGGAGATCTTAAGAAATGCTAATGTTAGCATAATAACCCTAAAAGTCAACATCGCACCCTGCAATTCACCATCTAAAGTCACACCTTATGAATGCGCTCTAGACAACATCACTAAAACATTATGTAACATTGACATAATACAACTCCTGATTACAATCTCAAACTTCAAAAAGAAGGAAGGTTGTTTGCCTTCCATTCTCTGGCTGAACTGTATCCATGATCACGCAGATGACATAATCCTTTATGTGCAAAAAAGGTGTGCAGATATATGCAATTAAATATTTTGACATGCATGTAGGGCAGCCTATTGTAAGGCTCGGGTCAAAAGTTTTGATTGGACTAGATTTCATTGGTCCTACACCTTCCACACAATATTAAAATACATGTAAATACATTTGGACCTCTTAGCAGGTTTCCCGCCCAATTGGGCAGTATTGAATTTGATGTGGGTAAAAAAATGGCATTGGTGAATGGTTTTTAGGGTTGGGCCATGTTGACCAATTTGGCATCTTACGATGTTTAATGTGAAGCATCACGATGGAGTATAGCATCATTGTCATAGGCAGCCGTAAATTAATTATTTACAAATAATTAATTAACTTTTAACAAGTTAATTATTTGTAGCCTACTCTGTCAACTGCCTGACCCACATGGTCTTTGTTTTACTTATAACCAAATCATAAATAAATAAAGATAAGTTACACACAAATGACCACTTGTCAATCACTTTATCCGTGGGACTCTTTCATGAATAGCCAGAGTGATCTGTGTCGTTATAATGTCGTCAACAAACCTGGTTGGTAAAAAGGTGCACAACCAACAGGATCCAACCAACAGTATCTGAGGTTTTCGATAAAATTACTAAGTACATGCGTGAAAGCAAAAGATTGAAGCAGTGTACTGATGCTGTGACACGTTACCTGATAGATAAAAAAAAAACGATGAGTGGTTAGATAGAGACCACATTAATTAAATATCATCTTTAACAACTATAATGAGACACGATCCAGCTATACATCCTTGATAAACTGTGCAACGTGCACTGCTCTCGGGTTTTTTGTTCAAAGCACCTGCTTACTGCAGGAGCTCAGATGTGCGCATACACTGCAGCACGAGACAAAGATTGTGTGTGTGTGTGTGATCACGTGATGTCCGTTTTCAGAAGTATAGTGTGGAAGGAGGGCTTTTCAGAAGTGCTTTAGGTGAAACACCAGTGTGGACGTGGATCATTTTCGTTTTCATTCTAAAATGTCATTTTAAAACTAAAGCCTCCTTTCCACTGCACACGACAAGCGACAGACCGGAAGTCATTCATTTCCAATGGAGAGTTGGAGGATCCGAATTGAGCTGCGGATCTGTTGAAATAGTTGACTCCTGCGACTAGACTGTATGCAACCAACCAGCTGGATGTCATGTATTCCAGTGTTGTCCAAGCAGGTCCGAGATGAAAAATAGTTGTTTTTTTTGTTATTATTTCATTAAGAAAAAAGTCTATATTCGAAAAAAAAAAACAATTCTATTTATAAATGAGTAATACAAGACGTATTAGGCTTAAGATGTATTAGTGTAAACAGGGCTGTGTGTATTTTTCATGAGCGGATTGCAGCTACGATGGGGGCGAGGTGGAGAATCGCGATGCCGGCTCAGCATCGTGATGTCTATCGGCCTTCAGCGATGGATGATGGCATCATCTATTGACCCAACCCTATCGGTTTTGAAATGCAACTCTTATATGCAACTTAGTTAACATAATATAACGGTGCGCTCCCTTCAGTTAGTGGTGACCAGTGTAGAGCCCAAACTGCGTGGGCCCATCCGCAAGAGGAGGTGAAAGAAAGTTCTTTCAAAATCTGACTCCCTGGACAAATCTGCCTCCCCTATGCGTGCACACGTATCATGCAGCACCTGCAGTTAAACTCATAGCAGTTTATCATGACACTTTATCGATTGTTTTTTTTTTTTTTTCTGCAATTGACAGCAAGAACAAACATAGAGGTGTTGACAAGCAGCACCTAATTATGTTCAAAAGAATTAAATGGGATGAATTTATACCCTGTTTCGAGAGTAAAACATACTCTAAATGTTAGTGTAATATACACAATATTAAGTGCTGTGTGTTGGTGTGATGGGGCAGTGTGGTTGGTTGCTGTATGGTTAAAAAATAGGACAGTTAAAGTAACTAAGTTAATTTAAAAAAAATCTAATATTTTGGGCAGTTTTTTGTGCGTTTGGAGGGGTTTTGGGCTGGATTTAGGCTGAATACTGTGATTGGTATAATGATGAAAGTATACTTTCAACCAACATGACAAACAATGTTTCTAAAAACAATCACCTATTCCACCTTTAAGCCTGAAATGTACTTTGTTTTTGATTAATTCTGTCATCCACATAGTATGTAGCCTACTGTGTTGAGACAATCATAATCAGTTCTTAGGTAAATGGGCCATGTATTTAATTGATCCATAAAGTTAGCTGGATCACAGAATGCCAACACTGGCTCACAGTTTAAAATAAATGGAAGTAATGGAACATCAAAAATCTACAGGTGATGCATCATGCAGCAATAATATATGTTTATTGTTTTTATGTTAGGGTGGATTGAAAGATTCCTACTACTCAAAGTTTTCATCGTTAATAATTTTATTAGAAAGGAATAACAAAGACACTTAATAAAATTAAGCTTTCTGGTATGAATTTGTTATCTACCTGTGTTTTATCATGATAGATGTACTTATGGTATACTGTACATGAGAAATATCATACGGGTAGCAGTGTGATATGGCTGTATATTGGCACTGGTGGGAGACATGTTGGCACGAGGTCGCAGGCTGAGTACTTTATCGATTGTTTTTTTTTTTTTTTCTGCAATTGACAGCAAGAACAAACATAGAGGTGTTGACAAGCAGCACCTAATTATGTTCAAAAGAATTAAATGGGATGAATTTATACCCTGTTTCGAGAGTAAAACATACTCTAAATGTTAGTGTAATATACACAATATTAAGTGCTGTGTGTTGGTGTGATGGGGCAGTGTGGTTGGTTGCTGTATGGTTAAAAAATAGGACAGTTAAAGTAACTAAGTTAATTTAAAAAAAATCTAATATTTTGGGCAGTTTTTTGTGCGTTTGGAGGGGTTTTGGGCTGGATTTAGGCTGAATACTGTGATTGGTATAATGATGAAAGTATACTTTCAACCAACATGACAAACAATGTTTCTAAAAACAATCACCTATTCCACCTTTAAGCCTGAAATGTACTTTGTTTTTGATTAATTCTGTCATCCACATAGTATGTAGCCTACTGTGTTGAGACAATCATAATCAGTTCTTAGGTAAATGGGCCATGTATTTAATTGATCCATAAAGTTAGCTGGATCACAGAATGCCAACACTGGCTCACAGTTTAAAATAAATGGAAGTAATGGAACATCAAAAATCTACAGGTGATGCATCATGCAGCAATAATATATGTTTATTGTTTTTATGTTAGGGTGGATTGAAAGATTCCTACTACTCAAAGTTTTCATCGTTAATAATTTTATTAGAAAGGAATAACAAAGACACTTAATAAAATTAAGCTTTCTGGTATGAATTTGTTATCTACCTGTGTTTTATCATGATAGATGTACTTATGGTATACTGTACATGAGAAATATCATACGGGTAGCAGTGTGATATGGCTGTATATTGGCACTGGTGGGAGACATGTTGGCACGAGGTCGCAGGCTGAGTAGCTTAGTGTCACACCAGTGCTGATATACAGCCATATCGCTCTGCTACGGGTGTAATTTTGCATTTATACAATACTTTGACGGCATAATCGTGTATGTAAAAAAGAAAATCAAACACTGAAAGTCTCAAAAATCCTTTTGTATGAGGAACTACATTCTTCTGCCATTCATTCATCATCACCAAACCATGACAAATTCACCAACATCACTTCAGAGCTAGAATTTGAATCATTCTCTAGCGTAATGTCTGAAGTGATGACAAAACAGGTGATTTTGCAGACATTTTAAGATTATAAGGCTAAACAGCATGAAAAGCCATCAGTCTAGAGAGATTTCTCAGTATTTCTCTGTTGCAATCATAATATCACAATAAATAACCCCGAAAAAGCCAAAGCAGTGCAAACACTACCAGATTACTGTTTTGCTTGGTGGTATTGTTTTGATTCTGGTGGTCGCTCTTGAATTTTATTTTTTTTGCTTGCATGCTTGCAGCAGTTAGCCATTTACAGTACATAGTCATCACCACATCAATCAATCATTTCAGTTTCATGAGTGGTTTTTGTATTCTGTACATATGCATTGCATTTTGCAGATGCAAAAGTGGCAATCACTTCTGAAGCTTTCAGTGTATACAGGGGTAGGCCTATCCCAATAATCAATATATCAACTTATCACACAACACATGGACATGGTCTTAATCATTTGTGGTGATCCAACCTTACTTTAAAAATAATGTCAGGAACATTTTAGCATATTGTGCAGCCTTCGTCATCTCATCCAATTTTTGCTGGAGGTTTCAGTGTCTGCATTGTTAAAAAACACTATAGTATTTAAAGTGTTATAGTATTTACTCTAAAATTTATTTATCTGGCACTTTTTTAACATTCATTTTCACATTCTGGTTCCAATCTTAATTATAGACTTGTTAAAAATTGCTATAGTTATATAAAAAAAATTCTTAAGAATAAAAATATCTATCAGTGATCTATTGCCGACTGAATATTGTCCCTTATAGGCAAGTGTCAAGTCAAGTGTATATTTATGTTGTTTATTGTTTTATTCATTATTTAAGATACAGATAAGAACAAACTATGTTTTACTATTTAAAGGGCTGAACACCCCACACATATTCTATTGAAAACCTTTGGGGGGGACCAAGTGTTAATCAGAGGACTTAAACTTAAGCAATTCATGCAACTTTTTTTTAAACTTCAAACCAATTTTTTGATTTGATGGCTAACTTGAAATTCTGTTTCAGATAGGTTAGCTAGACAATCTGGCTAGTACGTTTCAACAAACTGTCACATAATGTTTAAGAATTAAAGCTCAAGAATCTGAATGTAGTAAAAAGTTCTTATCAGACAAAGTATTTATCAGAATCTAAATAATTTGTATTTGCCAAGTGTGTACAAACACAACCCTACTGAAAAAAATAGCTTAAACCAGCCTAGGCTGGATGGCTGGTTTTAGCTGGATGAACAGTCTGGTTCATTTCCAGGCTGGTTTCCGGCCATTTACATGGAGATTTCACTTGTATTTAATATCATCCGCTTGCGATCAGGTTGACAAAAACGTTTGAAATGTATAATTTAGCAACAGATTAAACTTCTACTATAATTTGCTTACCCTTTACTTGTCAACTATTTTGAAAATGCTAAAAACTGGTAGCCATTGACTTCCATAGTACTTTATAGAACTACTATGTCAGTGGCTTCTGGTTTCCAATGTTCTTCAAAATATGTTTTTATTTCATAAAGATTTAGAACCACTTAAGTTTGAGTAAATGTTCAGGATCAGGATTTTTGAGGCTGGTACGAGTACCGATTCCTTGTCATTGTGATTGATCGATATGAAGTATTGATTGTGATGCTTCATTATCGATAAAGCACATATTCCCTCAAAGTGTAATACTTAAGAAAAGATCTTGTCTTACCTAAGAAAATAAGTAATGTTGCATATAATCCCTTAAACATGTCTCTCACAACCATTTAGTGTGGACAGAAGCAGCTTCACAGAGCAAAATAGATAAAACAGATTTAAAAATGATTGACAATGCAGTTTAGAACCATTGCAAATGATGGAACTGTCATTTAACATGTCTCACTGAGGAAAAAGTTTGGAGAAGTTAAAATGCACACCTATAAATATATGAGTTCTTTACTAAAAGGAAATAGGCCTATAAACCTCTGTTTATTGCAATAAGCATTTTACAAAAAGTTATATATATTCATTTAACCTAACAACTGTAATGCTTAAAACATTAATGTGCCTCTCGCGATCTGTTCTCTTGCTCATCCTCTCTTGTCGCCATGATTTGCTGGTCTCTTGGAGCAGCTATGAATATGTGAGAGACTCACGGAGCTTTCAGCAGAGGTCATATGGTTGGATGAGGCACTAGTCAAAGCATCTCAAAACACTTGATATACAATGGTTGGAACAATGAGAACCATCACTCGCACAATAAATGCCAATAATTCGTTTAAAACAGAGGTCACACCACATCTGTATGTATTTTAGATGCTGTGTTTGGAGTGCAGCATTTCTCTTCTCACTTGTTGTAGCACTTACGGGTGAGCATGTGCATCTCCTCGTTGTGTAAACCATTCTAAAAATCAGAAACAAACATTTGCGATCGGTTCATGAGATTGGCCAGATTGGCGTGCACGAATCGGGTCATAGAATGTGATTATTGGCCGATATCGCTCTCTAGCCGATCGATTGGAGCTTCCCTAATTTAGTAGACAAACTTTCCTTTTAATAACAGTTTTAACAGGAAGATTATTAATTTGTCAACAGGATCTCTGTGTGAACAGGATGGAGGACAGCACTAATGACATTGCGAATCTGCTGGGAATGCTGGATCCCTGGTATGAGCGTAACACTCTAAGCCTTATGGAACTTCCCGTCAATGTGGTGTGCCAGGTGAGTCTCTCTCATTCATACAGACTCATTCACTAGAAAAGAGATTGCGTGCATAATACCCAAATTACCAATAAGGAGAACAAACATCAGTTAATCTTTTGTTATATGGCAAGCAGTTTTTGGCAGGACACGCACATCACACACGCACACAAACAAAACCACATCCCATAAAACCACTCATTTGAGGAACTTAAATGTGTGAAAGTGTGTTTTTAATTGTTTAGATTATTACCATGGTCAATGAAAAAAAAGAAAAAAAAACATTTCCTGTTCAGTTGACGATTGATGAAACTATACTCACTTCAAATGTTCTTGTCTTTGCAGCAAACATCAAAGATTGATTCAGACTTGTCTGAGGGCACTGGTGAGGAACGTTTACCAATATTTGCAGACCTGGTGCTCTATTACTGCCGCCATGCTGCCCGTCCTGCACTCATTCAGCTCTATCAAGCAGAGGTGAATAAAAACACAATTTCCTCAGTCAGGGGCAGAATCAAAACTATATGAAATTTGCATACACTTATAAATCTGTCAAAATCAATATGGAGTGCACACATTTTGTGTTTAAATATAAGTTTTTACAAAAAATGTTAATTAAGCTAAACTTAGGTAAAACATTTACAAAGAGTGGTGAAGAAGGTATTGTTGTTGCTTGGTGTCAAAGGGATAGTTCAGTCAAAAATGAAAATTGTCATAATTTTTGCATTTTTTAAATCATTGCATTTAAACAAAAAGAGTTATTGAGCAGATATGTTTATTAAAATAATATTTAAGTTACCAAACATATTTAGAAAGATAAAACAATTAAATTCAAGCAAAATATTGAAAAAAAATTCAAACAAAATTTCAACAAAATGTATTTATTATTTATTTATTTATTTATTGCTTCTTCTACTTTAAGTTTTTATTTAATGTTTTTCTATAACATAAATTTGAGTGTACTAGTTTTTGGACCATTATCATGAGTTTTTTTGTTAGATAAGCTCCAGATTTGGCTTCAGTACTGACTAATCTAATGTATTTGCACAAAGATAATATTGTAAAGCTTCCTATTAAAAAATAGATTTGTGAGGGGTGTACTATATGCTTAGCACTGTACATTTGACCATTGACTTCCATTATGTTCTTTCCTACTGTTACACCTGGCTCAAAGATGTAACAATAAGGGAGACGACATTCTAACACAATTGAAAAAAAAACAATCAAAACATTAGTATCAGTAGGTCAAATCTATGTAAACAGATGCGGTAAGTGTTGTCAGTGCTAGTGTGTGGATGCAAAACAAAACATATGCCCAAAGTGAAGCACAGTTCTGGCCAACTGCCCAAAAAATTAAGGAACAGAGACCCTGGCAAACTCTCGCACTTTGTTTAAATAAAAGTGATGACAACTTACAACAGACAAAAAGATACAAATTACAAACCAAAATACTGCAATCCTAACACTACTATGGCTGTAAATGGAAATCATTTTCTAACATTCTTCAAAATATTGTCTTGTGTTTAAAAAACAAACAAACGAGCTCATGAATCACTTGAGGATCATTTCTTTTTTTTTTTTTTTTATGTGTCAAGTATTATTTAACTTTTAACAATTACAATCTTGCATTCATCATTTCTGGGCGTTTTTGTAACTTGTCTTATATTACCATGATGTAATCCAGTGATTTCACACACACATTGAATTCTTTCTATTTGCTGTAGTTCACACTAGCTGGAGGAGTAAGACGGACTGAAGTATTTATTCACTCTCTGGAACTGGGCCACACAGCTGGTACAAGAGCAATCAAGGCCATGGGTGAGTGTAGAAACCAACACTTCAGTTTAAAAGCTGTATGTATGAAGCAACCTAGAGTCAAATTTTAGTCTTAAGTGTGTCAAAACTTTAAGAATAATGTAAGTTTACTTTTATTCTTTGTAAGAGTAATTCATGGTTATCGTCTACA